CTGAGACACACGCCGGACACGCAGAGAAGACAGAGATCCACACAAACCGCACTGACGGGCAAAGCGCCGTGAGCGAGAAGCTTCGAAGTCCGGGACGATGCACTAGGGGGCGCGGCGTGGCCAAACACGGCGCCCGGCCGCCTTTGTCTCCCCCGTGCTGATGTCGATCTCGCCGAGACGAAACAGCGGGTTATATAATCGTCATCGATGTTGGCCGTGAGCGGGAATCGAACTCGGGTCGCGGGGTGCAGAGTACAGCACGCTGGCTCCCCGCAACACACCAGCACACAGACACCCCATTTCGGGGAGCCACGGTAGCGATGTTAACTCCCTCGCCTGGTGTACAGGAGGTCGTGGGATCGATCCCGACCCTGACGCCTGCTGCTGCTGTATATTTGGAGTCTGCGTGTCTCTCTCTCATCATCATCATGGTGGCTAGGAGATGTTAACTACCTCGCCTGGTACACAGGAGGTCGTGGGTTCGATCCCGACCCTGACGCCTGCTGTATATTTGGAGTTTGCGTGTCTCTCTCTCTCACCATCATCATCACGGTGGCTAGGAGATGTTAACTACCTCGCCTGGTATGCAGGAGGTCGTGGGTTTGATCCCGACCCTGACGCCTGCTGCTGTATATTTGGAGTTTGCGTGTCTCTCTTCCTGTGGTCGTGTGGATTTGTCTCCGGTTCCTCCGGTTTCCCCCTCCACATTGAGAATCGACATTGGTTTGCTATACATTTCCACGTGATGAGCCACGTCGTTGAGCTCATCATTCGTCGCCAGATAACTTCTGAAAAAGGAGACACGTAGCTCAGTGGGCCTTACCGGGTAGCGTAAAATGAGTCGTCGTTTTCAGTCTTCCGGACTGCAGGGGACACGCGATCTGAACAAGCGACCGCCTAAGGCGAGCAAGGCGGTAACGAGAGTGTCGCCCCAAACTCCTCCGTCCTACCTCGCCCGATGCTGATGTTTACAAATGGACATCGGCTACTCGGTCAAGGCCACGGCCGAGGCAGTCGAGGGGGCCATGTCCGGGCCACGTCGCAGCCCCTCGACGCTTTGGCATTGCGGAGGGTCTCTTGAGAGCCGGGCCGCGTGAATGTCGCCGTCTCCGTGGCGCGTGCAGCCCCGCAGGAGGGCAGCGAATGTTGCTCGCTGCTGCTGCTGGGAAGGGCCCCTTCTCGCGATGGAGTACGGGCACATCATGTTCCGAGTCGGCGCGGATTAGCGTTCGGAGCAGTGGGTCCATGTCTCCAGGGACCGCTCCTCTCCCCTCCTTCCACACCAATTCATGCATTCATTCATTCTGTCGCTCTTTCGAACCAGAGGTGCGAGCCAGGGTTTCATTCCAGCCTGGCCAGTCAGGATGCGTCCGCTGTGAGCTGCGCGTCTCACGCGTGGGTCGAGCGGGAAACCTCCCGAGGCTTTCTAGGCATGGGGGCAATTCTTGTTGCAATTCAACAAGAATTGACGCTCTTTTAAAATGAACACATTTAAGTGAATGTAGCGGCCTCAAGTGACCGCACTGAACCCATTACAGACAACCAGGGTTTCATTTCAAGCTGGGTCTCGTGCAGAACCTAGTCCACATTCATCATATCTCCCACTACGTGTGGCGGGGTGGCTGCCCAAAAGCCACGTGCCACCTCTTAAAGTCGACCGAAAGCAGGGGGACAAAAAGGCCGCACTCGGCACACCACGTTGCATGTTTGTTGAACTTCTTTCACACCGTACGTAGCCAAGCGTTAGTTGCCACCGAGCCAGCGCGAGTCCAGAAGTAGCAGCCACGTGGAGGGAAATGAAAAACTAAAAAAATATTCAGCGAGAAATCAAAGCGCTGCTGCTGCTGCTGCCAACGGCGCGACTTGAGAAGACATTCCACTGTAAGGCCATTCTCATTGACAAGGAGAGTGTCCCGTAGATCTGCTATCTATTTATCTGACCTGTTGGTGTTTTTATTACCATCGGACAATCCTAAACATCTACGTTTGATTGTCAATTCACAGATTCCACGCACAATTTGGATCAATAGCACTGAATGTATCAACAGCACTGAATGAACCACCTCGTTTCGTCTCCTGGCATCTCCATTCTGCCATCTCTGTCCTCATTTCAACTGACTCTATTATTAAAGTCAGTACATTTTAAGTGTGAAAGTCATTTTACAACGTAATTGCTATTATTATTATTATTATCATCCAGTGATTGTTGCTGTTGTAAATCTGTGATTGTGGAATGCTTTGATGTTGTCTGCCGGCCCGAGTTGCCCTTGAACAAGAGCTTCTTAGCCCCACGGCCTTTAGCCGATGGGAAATAAAGTCCCGATTCTCATTCTGACACTGATGTCAGTAACAGCGCGAGGATCGCGCAGAGCACCGCGTCTCGCCGCACGGAGCCGCGTCCAATCCCCGCGGAACGCGCGGGGAGATCCCCCTCCCCCACTCACCCACCGCTTGCGGTCCGCGAGAGACGCGGAGAGAAGTAGTGATCATGAGGTGCTTCATATCGCACGGTCCCATCTATAGCCCCCCACAATGGGGGGAGGACATTACCCAGCCTGGGCTGTTCCAGTGGGGACGCTCTGCGCACCGCTAATGCGGTTTTGCTCCACTGACAGCAAGCGGCATGCAAAGATGCTCGCGATAAATCGATGGGATTGGCTAAAACGCGAGATGAACCGGATTTCTGTTTTGGTTCTGTTTCGAGGAGTGGTGCTCGTCGTTTTTGCAATGCAACTCGGATTTAAGAGTGAATGATGCCATTCGAAATATAAAGGTCGTGGGTCTTTGATGAGTGGTTAGCGAGCACTGCGCTTTGAACCCCAGTGACCAGAGTTGGATTTGTGGCCACGGCTAACATCGGTGGTGACAGACTGACAGACTACGATTGCTATGTGGGTCCGTAGCATTGTGTAAGTCTGTTCTACGTACGTCTATGTGGTCCTATATGAGTCTGAGACCTACGTTAGTTTGTCAGTGCCTTTTAGGTGGCTGGGTTCTATGTAAGTCTGTATGGTCCGTTGTAAGGTCAATATTTCACTATGTAAGTGTTTTGGGTCCTATACAAGTCTATGTGGTCTTATATAAGTCAACATTTTCCGAGGTAAGTTTATGGGTCCTACCTAAGTCTATGGGTTCTACGTAATTTTATCAGTCCTGTATAAGTCTATGGATCCTATGTACACCTGTGGGTCCAGTGGCTATGTAGATATTTTATTCTTTTTTGGGGATTTGCCAAAGCACCCATAAGCTGTGCGGCATCCACGTCAGCGAGGGGAGGGGGCGGGCGACCAACCGCCCGCCGCCTTTGGGAAAAAAAATCCCCACCGTGACCTTCAAAATGGAATTGGCGCGGTTCGTTACCAACGCCATCATCTCGCTCGGCCCCCGCCGTCACAGAGAATTAACTAGCACGTGCCCCTCCCCCCCACGCCTCCCACTCACACGGCCCCCCCACGGCCCACCCCCACTCCCACGCCCCCCCCACCCACACGCCCCCCCCGAGGGTCGAGTATTTCTAACCGGCTGCACTAACAAGACGGTAAAGATTTATCGCTGATTTCTCGCAGCGCAAACAACCAACTCGTGTGATGCGCAGACGCCCCCTTGCCTGCACGCACTCCAGTGGCGGTGTTGGTGATTCTCAAATCCGCTCGCATGCACAGCAGCAGAGAGGAGCGCCGAGTGTCGAGACTCGTTTGTTAAAAGGGTTCTGCCACGTCTTTGCAGTCGAGGGGGTGGGGGGGGGGCGGCGATGTTGCCGCTGTGCGCGTGATCCTGGTCCAGTAATTTCAAGCCTACCAAATTTGGACATCTGTAAATAGTTTTAGGACATCTGTGAAAAAACCCCCGCTTCATAGCTCATCGGATCCCTCCAGTATAAATGCATATTCTGATTCTGGACCATGCTGCCGGAAAACCATGGCCTGCTCTCATTGAATGACATCACTAGAACTTTAAGGTCCACGGGGTGGGGATGTTTGGGCCAATGACAGTGACATTGTACTTTTTTTTTAGCTATAGAATGAAACCGGAGAACCCGGAGGAAAGTCATCCAGAACAGGAGAGGGCCAGAGAACACACATGCACACACTCCACGTGAAAAGGCGCCCGAGTCGGGAATCGAACCCAGGCCCTGGACGAATCCAAGAGCTCAGCTCGTGTCCAGGAGCTGGATGGCTCGCGTGACCACCACGAGAGATAGCGATGGCGTGTGGAGTGGTGTGTTGAGATGGCATGTGGAGTGGTGTATTGAGATGGCGTGTGGAGTGGTGTGTTGAGATGGCGTGTGGAGTGGTGTGTTGAGATGGTGTGTTGAGTGGTGTGTTGAGATGGCGTGTTGAGTGGTGTGTTGAGATGGCGTGTGGAATGGTGTGTTGAGATGGCGTGTTGAGTGGTGTATTGAGATGGCGTGTGGAGTGGTGTATTGAGATGGCGTGTGGAGTGGTGTATTGAGATGGCGTGTGGAGTGGTGTATTGAGATGACGTGTGGAGTGGTGTATTGAGATGGCGTGTGGAGTGGTGTATTGAGATGGCCTGTGGAGTGGTGTATTGAGATGGCGTGTGGAGTGGAGTGTTGAGATGGCGTGTTGAGTAGTGTGTTGAGATGGCGTGTTGAGTGGTGTGTTGAGATGGCGTGTTGAGTGGTGTGTTGAGATGGTGTGTGGAGTGGTGTATTGAGATGGCATGTGGAGTGGTGTGTTGAGATGGTGTGTGGAGTGGTGTATTGAGATGGCGTGTGGAGTGGTGTGTTGAGATGGCGTGTGGAGTGGTGTATTGAGATGGCGTGTTGAGTGGTGTATTGACATGGCGTGTTGAGTGGTGTATTTAGATGGCGTGTTGAGTGGTGTATTGAGATGGCGTGTTGAGTGGTGTGTTGAGATGGCGTGTGGAGTGGTGTATGGAGATGGCGTGTGTAGTGGTATACTGAGATGGCGTGTGGAGTGGTATACTGAGATGGCGTGTGGAGTGGTATACTGAGATGGCGTGTTGAGTGGTGTGTT